TACAAGGATTTGAAGGCCTGAGTTGTGATTCAAAAGTGAAGTAGGCGTTGGGGAGAGGGGGAGGGATACGGCGGAAATACCCTGATGTGTAGGTAGATAGGACGGTTAACTGGAAATGCAACTCGCTATATTTCTGACGAACAAGATATTTATCATCTAAAAATGCGCTGCAGTTCCTGAGCCGCTGCTTGTCTTCATACCTGATCTGTCATATCATGTAGACTGTCCCTTCTAAGCAGGCCATTCTCCATGCTCATACGATGAGCGAAGTGACGCACACATGCACCACCCCCAATCTTCGACAGACAATAGAGCATATATAATCAGACGATTCCCCTTTTTCAAAACCATTCTATCGCATTGATTTAACCCTCTGTGGTATCCATGGCATCACTCTTCAACTTGTCCTTGGCAGCTTGCACCCGCTCCTCTCGCCACTGCTCAATCCTCTCCTTTAGTTCCGTCTGTGGAATTGCGTCATCGATAGTCATGGCTTGTCTCGTGAAAGGATCCTTAGGATCGCTTAGCAGATGCTGGACAATGGTTGATCGGTCAACGATATGCTTGCTGGGTAGCAAGACCGGATCCTTCATGAGATCACCCATGATGGGGTCCTCAAACTCGGCAGGGATGTCACCCAGGTCGAGTTCCGCTTGGTCGAGGAGCGTCTTGGCATCGACAAATTTCACCCTGAGCTTGTCCCATCGAGCGACATCTGCGGGATCCTTCTGGTGCTTGGAGACGAGGATGCGTGAAACGCGCTCCAGCACTTCAGGCTTGTAGGAACGACCATCTGCAGCAACGGCGTCAATGAAAACTGGTGAGTTGCCGAGATTGAGATAGATGTCGACAATGTCTGAGATGATCTGGATAGGGCGGAAGTGGTACTTGTCTCTGTTAGAAACACTGAGCTCCGCAGCCGCCTTCTTTCCTGCTAACGTCTCCAGGTTGTAGTTGAGCATGCTTGCCAGACGAGACACAATCTCGGGCATGGTAAAGGCTTCACTCATAGCCTCTGTGAAAAGCTTCATCATCTCAAGCGTCTCGTTGGCCAGCTGCATGAAAGACGTGGCCTGGTTAGCCAGTTGTTGCATCTCCTCCTCCTTCTTCTGGCGATCCTCTTGCGGTATTGACGGATCTTCGAGTTCCTTCTCAATAGCACGAATCTTGGGAAACTTAGTTAAAGCTTCGTCCAAGACATATGTAGCATCGTTCAGCAACATATTGACAAACTGAACGAAGAACTGCTTGTTCACGCTGTGGCGGTGTTAGTACCGTCTCAAACGATGACTTTGGGGGGTTACTGACCGACTCTCCCGTGTCAATTGTCGCTTGTAGTGGTCGTTGACCCAGACACATTTAATCACTTGGAAGATCTCGTATCGAATGTTGAACTTGTCATAGAATGCAGAATCCGCGCCCGTTGACTCGCACTCGATGTAAAACTTCATCAATCCCTTAAGAAGGTGATCGTTGGCGAACTGGCTGCCAACAAGCTGGTCACCTAGAACACCTCGCTTTAGATGCATCAATGGCCAAGTCGCTGAGAAGAGCAGTGAAACCAATGATGACTTCAGGTAGGGGTTCTTGATGTACTCAGTTGAGCGGAGGAATGTCACGCAGAGCGCAATCATTTCATCGCCAACAGCGCTGGGAAGAATTTTAGGTAGCCACCTGTTAACTTGTTAGTTGTTGGGGCCTCCATCGAGTGCCAGTATGGTAGACGAACCTAAATATGAACTTGAAATTGTCCACGATATTCTGTAGCGTATACTCTGGAAGACATGAGAATACATCTGACTTCTCCGCAGGAAGGGGGAGTCTACAGTTGTCAGTATCATCATCCATATTGCGCGCCAGAGCACATACTGTATCTCCTTCGACTCTTGACCAGGCTTGTACTCTGATCGAGTCACCAAACGAAGCAACCACACAGCCACAATGCGCATGAAACGTAATGAAGTGCTCTGCATCCGTTCATCAAGCAGGACACCTTCGATGGAAAGCTTGACGGCAATGCTCTTCTCGAGAGCGTCGACATGTCTCTGAACAGCCTTGTCATACTGTTGAAGTTGGACAGGATTGTTCACAAATTTGATACGATCTGCCTCCATGATCTTGACTCGCTTCTCCAGATACTTTATGTCCCTGTCCAAATTCTTCAGTTGGGAGTTGCAGGCTTCACTTCCATAGTGATGCGCTGCCAGGGTCAAGAAGAAAGCCTCCGAGATGAAATTAGTTTCGCCTGTTATCTTGCTCGCATAGAACGATTTCGCATATGCATCGTCTGCGTTCAGCTTTGTCTCATCGCTGATATCTATCCGTGGCTGCTTCCGGAAGTAGTTGTCATCAATCTTGTTTACTTTGCTGAAATCCATATCCATGAAGGGTTCGCAAAATCGGTCTAGAATCGTGGTCACATTAATCATAAATCCGTTAGAAGCAACCTCTCTAGGGTCAACTTGTAGTGCTCTCCTCTTGTGATTTGAGTTCATGATGTAAGCGAACCAGTCCAGAGTTCGAGATCTGGTCTCCTGGCCTGCACGGATAAAGGCGTTTGTGATCGCGAAAAGATCATCTTGGTGTGTCCTCAGCACCATTCGCAAAGCGTCTTGTGAGTTTGCGATTCTACCCTTGTCAAGACCACGAGCCCCAGGGAAATAGCTCTTGATGACTTCATTCTGGAGTGGTGAGATGCGGAAGAACGGGCCCAGAAGGGTGTGCTTTTCAATTCCAGCAGCTGACTGAGCCATGATGAAGATCGGGTGTTTGGCGAGGTTCACGATTAGAGGAGGGAATCTGGTGTACGTTAACATGGCCTGGATATACGGCTTGTAATCCTGGTCCATGGAAATTGTACCCAGCTTGTTGCTGATCTGAATCATGGCATCGTTGAATAGAGCAGGGAAAGCCTCGTCATCGTCGAATCGCTTGATAGCTTCCTGTATGAAGTTGAAGCAAAGACCGTTCTCGTCCTGCACGCCCTTCAACAGGTATGGCATGAGCGTATCATGCTTAGGGTTCGGTGATCGGCTACATGAGGCGTCAGGATTGTATCTCCGACGCGGTGAAATTGCTTACCCATAGAGATCCGGCATGGTCAGGGCAAACAAGCAGCCGCTCATACACAAACGCTTAGCCTCTTCGTGCACCTCGAACTTGGGCCCCTCCGTTCCCTTGAACTGGAGCGACGCTTTCACAGCACGCTTCCAGCATGGCAAGAAGTAGTTCATAAGAGGCTTGTCATGGGGATAGCTGCTAGCGGCCTCCATAAGAGCTTGATCTAGCGTGTTGACGGACAGCTTCAGAGGCTCTCCGGACTCGTTTAGTTCTTCATTCAGGTTCGGGAGGAACGTCAGCCGTTGACCACTGTTATTGACCATGTTGTGCGGGTCCACAGTGATGCGGAATATCTGTGACAATGTTCGGTCGGCATAGGATTCGACGGGCTCGGGTTGGGTGGTGGATGGCTTGGGGGAGGGTCGATCCGCTGGAGCGACGTCAATCTCAGATGCCAGTCTTTTACAATTCACAGAGGAAGTACCTGTTGAACTCGATGGCTCCGCCTTCACCCCTAGCTTGTCGAAGGGGTTCGGGCTGGAAGAAGCCGCCGGAGCGGCGGGAGTGACGTTGATCTTGGGCCGTGATTCAGCGGATGCGGGCTGCGGCTGCGGCTTCGGCGTTGACGTGCGCGAGGGGTTCGACGATTCGGAATCGGGAGCCTTGTTCTCGTCTGACTTGGCAGACACAGGCGTTGAAGTCCCTAGCTTGGCGAGACGTCTCGCGCGGATCTGGAGGTCCTAGCTTAGCATAAAGTCCCCATCATGAGCTCTGTTGGCGCAACTTGCCTGTTCCATCTTCTCCTTGTCTGGGGCATCGCCTCCAGCCCATGAGGGTTGCTCGTTGGGGTCCATGATGGCGATGACGAGTCGAAGTGCGGATGAGAGAGGAAGAGGGAGTGAAAAAAGACGAGAATTATGTTGAAAGAAAGAGGTTCAGATGAGATGGCGAGGCTGAGAGGGAGACGGACGAGATCTATGAGGTGTGGACCCAAGCCTCACAAAGACGTAGTACAGTTGATAATGATGAGCTTGGGGACCTGAGGGTGGGGGGATTCCAGGCAGAGCTGGGCCTAGGAACTCTTTGGTTCGAGGTGGGGCGGTGAGGCTTTAGTGGCTGCTTCTGAGCTGTGGCGCTGAAACTTTGGTTGCCTACTCGTGTAGAAGGACCTGGAAGAAACAGTCACTGAGGTATTGGTAATAGTGTTAATGATAAGATGTTAGATATCAGTTGAACAAAGAATCTACCATTAAAGCCGTAAGATTTATATTGGCCTGCCAAATCATCTCCCAAACTCCGCAGTACTCTTCTAAACTCCGCAATATAAAGTGGCTCACGGTTTCCGAGCACTGATGGTCATGTCTAAGCTGAGGTGATACAGAGTCGAGGATACAGCATCTGTATTTCCTGTATCATGATTAAGATCTAGAACTTGCATATGATGCTTTAAAAAGGAGCTTCTCAAAACCAATCAACTATGATGTGTTCTTTCTACATAGGTCAATCAATAGCATACTTATGGCAGCCTACGTGAAAATTGCATTTTGGTTTGTCAAACTTTCATCTCTTGTGGTCAGGCTGGCTCTTCCTTAACTCAACGTTAAAACTTTTTCATCAATGGCGAAGTACCTACTAGGTATGTGAACATGAATGGAGTTCTAGACCCCTGACGTCAGGCCTTCAAGATCTTTAAGTGACGCAGCGTCATGTCTGAAATAGGCAATGGGTCACAAGAAGCATCAAAAACACAGGAAACACACATGGAAATCAAACCTGAGTCGTCAGATTAGAATAAGTCTATGATAAAAGACTATCGCCGATGCTCAATGAACCATAACCCTTTTCCGACTAAGCCTACGTGTAAATGCCGGGGTATTCCATAAACCGTGACGCCAATAAAAGATTGAAAAAAGAAGTGTAGAAAATAAAGTAAACACTGATCACAGACGGGGCAAATCTGTTCCTTCGACACTAGCTGACCGACGACGTTCTGCGAGACGAGGGCCTTCTACCGACCTGTCCCTCTGCAAAGTCGCCGTGGATCCAGAGCTCGCGGCCGCTCTTATGCGGCCTTCTTCGCGGCTTCGGTTCAGGAGCCAGTTAACATGCATTCGAATCATGTTAATATTGTTTCGCAGTTCAGTTACCTCCTCGCGGATGGGCATGATTTGGTTGATAGTCCACATACTCTGCCGTGCCTCGAGGTGTGTCAGGTTCTGGTGAACTTCTTCGAAACCAGCGTCGAGGTCTTGAATTGTGCGGTTGTCACCCATTACCGATTCGCCCACGCCCCGGCGACTGAGAGATGAGTTAAATTCTGTGATGCGTTGATTTGTTTCATCCTGGCGAGTCTGGAGTTGCTGGACTTGTTGGCCGAGGTTGGTGTAGGAATCGATAATTTCTCGTTGTGAGCGAATTATCATGCCTGACGGTGTGTCTGGGTGGAATGCGCAAGCCAGAGTATGAGCATCCATTTGCCCGCGCATCGCACGAGCTGGACAACCAAACTCGCTATAAGGACAGTTGATAACAGCACCTTCGCATTCTAATTCATCGTGGTCCTTGATCTGGCTGCGATATACGAGCTTCCAGCATGTCTCACAGCGAGTTTTGCTGTTCGGACATGACAACAAATGCAGTTCGCGATCAGTGGCCTCGATTGTCACTTTGCAGTGTAAACATTTATCTTCCTTGTGTGGGCAAGTATCATCTTCGGGTTTGGAGCGTAATCTCTTGTCACAATCAGCGCCGGGGCAGGTGAAGTCCTTGAACCGGCATTCCGTCGTAGCATGTGTTTCGACTACCTCCCGACGAACTTCCGATTTGCAGCCTCGTGCATGGTAAGGACACTTGACTTTGAGACTATTAAGCTGAGTGCGAATGAGCCGTGGTGCGCTGAAGCAGTTAGGCCAGGCAAGAGGCTCTCGGTCAATGGGACAGGCCGTTCCGGAAGGACCAGAATCGATGCTCTGTCGCAAGCATCGATAGCAGAATGTATGATCGCAGGGAGTTGTAACTGGATCCACCAGCGGATCATGACAGATAGGACAGAGTAGATTGGCATCTGGTTCATCGACATATGTCAAAGAATACATATCGAAGATGCAGTTGCCGCCATATCGTTTGGGTATTCCGAGGGAGGATAGATGTGGAGGCAGGAGGGGTCCGGTTCGACGATCCGAGTTAACATTTGGTATCAAAAAACCCGAGTATGAGGGATCAATTCTGGCTCTGATATCTTGTCTAACCTGCTGCGAGACTTGCGCTCCAACGTAGAAAGTATCTGGCGAGGGCGGCCGAACGAGACTAGTGACGAGGTCGGGAGTTGGAGATGTGCGGCGAAGGTTGCGGCGAGCGAAGCGGCGAGCAGCGGCCGGACTCAAACGAATTCCATCATCGCTCGATTCGGACGCAGACGTCAGAAGAACAGGAACAGCAGCAGTCGGCGTAGGAGCGACAGGAGAAGTAGGAGTCGGCTGTCTCGAGTCTCGGAGGGTTGTAGCCGCTGCGGGAGGAGGAGTTGTGGCCATGATCGGTAAAACGGGGGATTATGGCCGGATCAAAGAACAGTCGAATAGGACCAGATCGGAAAGAAATTGAGGACTTGAGGACGAGACATGTATTCGTGGATTGTGTGCGTGTTGCGCGACGTCGTGATGACGCTCATGGGAGGGGGAGTCGATGTTTTGATGAAGAAGGGAAGAAAGGGAGGATCTCGATGTGCACATCAGGACCGTATTAGGCGGAGGTAGAGCCGAGGAGGCCATGGCATGGCCATGATGTGATAAGAGCGCAGGTGTATGTACTAACAATTTTAGCGGGAGAGTTTAGGAGGTAGCATTTTGGCGGGGTTGACAAAAAAGAAGCGGATCAGGAGAGGAGCCTGGCCGTAGAAAAAGCAGGGGTCTTGTTATGATGCATGCGAGTAGAATGATCAATTGAGGGTCTATAGGAGATCATTGGGGGAGTGATTAGAGTCTATGAGATGGCCATGATGTGCTCTTCCCTTCCGTGTTCGTGTTGTTTATAAAAAGTGTCTTTGTTTCTCGTGATAATTGCTTCTCGCTATCTTCACCCAAGTCATTATCAGTTTCAGCTACTCCCGCGGGTCAGGGTCCTTGGCTCGGTTTTTTTTGTCGATTACATCATCGGTCTGTCATTTTCGCCTTACTTTTTCCTTTCCCATGCCCATATTGAGCACATCCCCGCCAACTGCCGACGACGAACCCTTTCTTCACCACATTGGGCTTGGTTGCACCGTTGACAGTGACAGTTTCAGGCAGGGCTCTCCCATTCCAGAATCCACATGGACGAAGGAACAAGCTTCAAGCCAGGACTTTCTAGTCAGCTAGAGCCCAACTCTCGCCATCCACAGGTTAGTTGTCTTTCAACGGCTTTTCACATTCCATATCCAGCGCCGTACCGTAAGCTACTGCACCGCTAACGTTGCAGTCCCACGCTGTACAACTCTCGATGAGTTCTCTGTGCTCCTGAACTGTGTGCGGTTCCGTAAGAAACCCCGAGATCTCCGGCTCCGCGATGGAGGTTGCAGTTTTTAGAGTTTGTTCAAAACATGGAATCGGCAATGGACAATACCGAGAAAAAGAAAAGGGGAAAGCGTTGGGTTGGTTAATTACCAAAGAATGACGATCACTGGGTACCTTGCAGAAATAAGTGAAGCAAAACGGTTGTAGACTGACTCGTGAAGGGTCTCAAATCAAGGCCGTTGCTGAACCAAGTGGAGGCTGTCAAACCTGTCAAAGCAGCATCAGGCATTTATACCGAAACCTAGTTGCGCACTGACTGCATTGCCTGCATGAAAGTAAATCGAGATACTCTTTTTAGAAGGTGATTAGGTACTACAGTATAGTCAGTCTTGAATGTCCCGAGACCAAGAAATTACCAGGTCATGGTGATCCTTCGGCATTATGAGCCTGAACTGAATCACCCCGGGGCTATCCCACCTCCGGATACATTTCAGTACAGGCGTACCATGTTCCGAATCAGCCTCCCTTTCTGCCTTTCCTCCTGTTGAGCCTCATCTTTTCTCCCTCGCCTCGTCCAGGCTCCCGCGAGGCATCTTCCCTGCTGACGTGGCAGAGATCAAGTCTTCTTTGATTCGTTTTGTTATCTGCAATACAACGTCAGACGATCCCGCTACAGAAGGTGAACCAACGGCCTCAAAACCGAACAAAGCCGACTAGATCGGCCAATTCTGTCAACGTGAGGCTTATAAAACCAAGTAATTCACTCCCTCGTGCTCTTCTCGGCATGCAGCTATTGCTCTAGTTCTGACTGTTGTATGTTGGAAATGGCCCCCAACTCGCTGCTTTTAGGGTAAGTCGCTTGGCCTGATCGACTCTGGCGAACGATTTCAGCCTTTTCCTTCCAAGCGAACCGTCGGTTTCGGCCGATATCTGCAATTGTCAGCGAATAATAGCTTGCATCGCTTCTTTGAACACTGCCACTTACAAAGAGCCTCTCTTTCAACCCGTGATTGTCCATGCCATCAACCTATCAGATCTCAAAGAATCCCATCGTCTTTCGACGTCTCCAGTTATTGTCCTTTGTTGCCTAATCAACTGTAACGCTTCCTGCTGCACTTCACCCACCTTTCAACCCATCACTTCTGACACAGCCTTGTTCGCGATGCATATTGTAACCGACTCGGTACGGGAAGAGAGCGTAAAGCGGCGGCTTACAGGCTAAGATGCATGCACTGCACTTTCAGTATACTTTGCGCAATCCCATGTGCAACACGGCGATGCTGCTGTTACCTGGTGATCATCAGCCAAAGAGGTCACTGCGTCTCCGACAAAGGCGTCCAATCCATCCGTACAAAGAAGACGCCTTAAGAGGCTATATAGGACCCCAATATTTCCAATGCACTTTAGACATTCCAACTCTTGAAAATTAATTCTTCACCTAAACATGAAGCCAACTCCTCCTACTCCTGGCCAGCAGCCGACTCTTGCTAAGCCAAAGCGTAAACCTCTGAACCCTCAAGCTCTTGTTTCCAAGTTCTGGTCAAAGTATCACTCCAAGGCACCAGGCAAGGTCACTTCCATCTTCCCTCAGAGCCTCTATGAGTCACTTCTCACAGACGCCGACTCGTCTTATCCCAAGTCTCGCAATGCAGCTCAGAGCTATGAGGATGCTGCCAAAGAATGCCGTGCTCGAGTTAGAGCCATTGTTCGGGAGTGTGAACGAACCAATGCCAAATTCAGCGACCCAGACTTTGATATTGAGACCGACTTTTCGTCTTACCAAGATAATTGTCTCAATGGTTTAATGGGGAGAGGGTTCGAGGAGGACAGCAGTGATGACGAACCACTGTCATCCGAAAGGGGACCTAATATTCAGCGAATGAAGAAACATCGCAACACACGGAACAAGAGCGACGAGCTGGAAGACGATAAGCCTGATGTTAACAAGAATAACCGGCAAAGACGCATGTTTAGCGGCAGAGACTATGGTTCTCGATACTCCAGACCAGGCTCAGTCCATCGCATTCCATGGATCTTTGAAAATCCACAGTTTACAGTTGGCGGCTTTTCCAGCACAGACATCAAACAAGGTGCTGGCGGCGACTGCTGGTGGTTAGCGGCTCTCGCAACTATCGCTCATCGCAAAGACTTGATGAAGAAGATTTGTGTCGCAAAAGATGAAGAATGTGGCGTCTACGGCTTCGTCTTCAACCGCGACGGAGAGTGGATTTCAACTGTGGTTGATGATAACCTTTACCTGAAGCACAAGGACTTTGGAGAAGATTCTGAAGTCTACGATGCGACGGGCAAGAAAGCCCGACTTTACAAGAAGCAGAAGCAAACCGGTTCTGAGTCTCTGTACTTTGCCAAGTGTGAGGACCCTAATGAGACTTGGCTGCCCTTGCTTGAGAAAGCTGTAAGTTGTCCCTTTGAGATACTCAAGACAAAAACTGACGATTTTCAGTTTGCCAAAGTCCATGGTGACTATCATGCTTTGGATGGTGGGTGGTCTGGCACTGCAGTCGAAGATCTCACAGGCGGCGTCAATACTGTGGTCGCAGGTAATAGAGTCCTTCGCAAGGAAAGACTGTGGCGTGAGATGTTGGGATCTGACGGCGAGGATGGAGAATTCGTCTTTGGTCTGTCTGCCGGCGGCCCAGGAGAGGACCATAACAACGGAATTGTGTTGCGACATGCATACTCGATTCTTAAAGTGGCCGAAGTTGAAGACGAAGATGGCAACAAAGTGCGCTTGGTCAAGATTCGGTAAATATGACTTGCAGTTTTGGCTTGGCTCAAACAACTGACACGTACAGAAACCCCTGGGGACAGAAGTCTGAAGATGGCCATGGCGAGTGGCATGGTCCATGGTCGGATGGCTCCAAGCAATGGACTCCTCACATGATTCGAAAGCTTCAGCATCAGTTTGGCGACGACGGAATTTTCTGGATGTCCTTCAACGACATGCTAGATAACTTCAAGTGGATGTACAGAACTCGTCTTTTTGATGAGCGGTGGACGGTAGCTCAACAATGGACTAGTGTCAGCATCTCTTGGCTCACCGGCTACCTCAAGAAGAAGTTTATCATCGAGGTCAAAGAGGAGGGCATGGTGGTTATTGTACTCTCACAGGTATGTTTATCATTGGAAAAGCCAACTCGTACTGACAGTCGTAGCTTGATGAACGTTATTTCAAAGACTTGAAGGGGCAGTACGAATTTGTGCTGCACTTTCTGCTCAAGACGGCTGACGACAAGACATCCATCTGCTCGGTTCGTCCGGTCCATAAGTGGGATCGACGTTCGATCAATTGCGAGGTCGAACTCGAGCCAGGCACATATGAAGTTATTCCCAAGATCACAGCCGAGAGATATTACTGGCTTCCGACTGTCCAAAAGATGGTCAAGATGGGAGCCGACAGTAATCCTCAGAAGTTACGCCAGATCGGTCTGCAATATGATCTCGCACATGCCAAGGGCGGAATCGTTGATGAAGATGAGGCCCTCCGCAAGAAGAAGGAGCTCGAGAAGAAGAAAAAGCTCAAGGGCAAGAAGCAAGAAAAGAAGAAGAAACAGATGGCAGAAGCTATGGCCAGTATGGAGGCGGCGATGGTGCAGATGAGGAATGAGTACAATCGGTCTCTCAATGAGAAGGATACTGAAAGGGAGAAGACCAAGAAAGAGAAAGAAAAGGAAAAAGAGGAGCCTGAACCAAAGATGGAGGATGAGGAAGAGCCCGTCAAGAAAGAGGATGATACTGGAGCAAAATCAGATAAGGTGCCGCCTGGATTTTGGCCAGAAGATTCTTCCAAGAGTGATTTGGAAGCCTTGACTCTTGGTGAAACACCAACCGAGCCAAAAAAGGACCCGTCTTCACTTGATACGAGCCAAGGAACCGAAGACAAGAGAAGAGGATCTGCAGACTCATCCACCAGATATTCATCTGCCGACCACAGAAGCCCTCCATCTCTCGCAAACTCACCAATGCCATCACGAGATCACAGTCCCCAACACAGCAGGAGAACAACCATGCAAAGCATAGACACAAACCCCGTCTTCACGCCTCCCACAGAGCCAACCTCGGAATCGGACCTCGACAGCTCAGACTCATCGTCCGTGTCCTCATCAGAACCAGACGATAGCTCCTCGAGCTCAGACGACGATATGCTACCCACGTCGCTGCTCCAACGACTCAAGAAGAAGAAGAAACAGCCGTGGAATGCCGTGTGCGTGATCGGCCTCAGCGTCTACGCTCAGCACGCGGGCATCAAGGTCCGTCTCGCTGATCAGAGGGGCGATGAGGCCACCGAGCTCGTGCCCCCAAAGGGCAGCCCTGCTAGTTCGTGAGCTAGACAAAAGGAATATGCCGCTTGATATACCGTTGTTGCCAAGATTGTCTAACGTTGCGAGTCGTGAGACGTGGTGTTTGCTTTGATGGCGGAGGTTTATATGTGTATTCCACGAATAGGAGAATTTAATCGTACGAGAGCAACAAATAGGATTCAACAGCACTCTTCTCAGTCATGTTTTTAGCATAGCGGTTTTACTTGTCATATATCATAAAGAATGAATACTTTGACTTCTTTTTTCCTCTCCTCGCTAAGTTTCAGTGTGGATAGCACTATTCCTCGAACTGAGTTATACCCGAGACGCAATTTAACTACAACGCAGTCCGAGTCAGAACATGATCAGTTGATAGAAAACGAAAATGGCTTTGACAATCCAATCAATCAATCGAGTTTATTTACTACATGATCTACAGCCGTGGTATCTCCATGCGTTCCACATTGACTACTACTTCGGATTTGCCTACCGTCAAACAAAAAGAAAACGTGCGGCCCATTGTTTCTCAGTGAAACTCAGCGTATAAATGAGCCCCGAACTAGCATAAAAAGCGTCCACCAAAACTTGGTGCTAAAATGACTCGTTCTTTGTGTCCAGTTCTAAACTTCAGACGCCGTTTCAACCGCACGGCCCAAACCGCTGTTTCATCTGTCGTCGTCCCGTTTCACCATCCAGGCTCACCCCTACCAAGTTACCCTTGAGATTTACATGACCGATCTTCGAGATGGTTCCCGGCCAGGGTTGTTGAGTAATGGCTTGACAGAAGAATGATCTGAGGTAAGGCTCACCGTCGTGAGAGATTGATAATACTCGGAAGCCTTTCCAACTCGGGAAGACCTTGCGGATGAAGTACGAGGTATGGATGAATCTATCACGATGCAGGGTCGTTCAAGAAGAGGTTCGAGCGTTGGAGTTGAGAGCATATAAGCTGGATAGAAGTCGTCGATAGAGTCGAAATCAGATCAACTCAGCTCAGCAACTTTGCATTCATTCGCTTTTTCCTTTCCATTCGCTTCTAAACAACTCCTTTCGTTTAAAAACTTGACCTCATTCATCATGTTCTCCAAGTCTGTTCTCATCGCCCTCGTGCCCTTTGCAGTGGCTGGTCCCATTGCTCCTCGACAGGGTCTTGGTTCTGGCCTCGGTTCTGGCCTTGGCTCTGGTATTCCCAGCTTTGGACTTCCCAGCTCTGGCGGCGACTCTACTGGTGGACTCCCCAGCATCCCCAGTATCCCAAGCCTAGGCTCTGGAGGTTCAACTGGAGGACTTCCCAGTATTCCAGGCCTAGGCTCTGGTGGTTCATCTGGAGGTATTCCTAGCATTCCAGGTCTGCCCAGCTCTGGAGGCTCAACCGGTGGTCTTCCCAGTCTCCCTATCGGAGGTGGTGGCTCAAGCTTCCTCCCAGGAGGCTCTACTGGTGGAGGCACCACAGGAGACACTTCTGGAGATACCTCCGGCAGCGCTTCAACCAGCGCTCCCGCTTCTCAGCCCACGGGCTTTAGCGAGACTCCCCGTGCTGAGGGCGGTTCATCCACCTCTCCCTTCGGCAGCTTCCTTGGATCTGCCGGTGGCAGCAGTGGCGGTTTCGGTGGTTCCACTCAGAACGGCCTCAGCGGCGACTGCAAGGACGTAACTGTCATCTTTGCCCGCGGTACCACTGAGATGGGCAATGTCGGTACTGCCGCGGGACCTCCTTTCTTCCAGGCTCTTGCTCAGCAGCTCGGAAGCGATAAGCTCGCTGTCCAGGGTGTTGAGTATGCCGCCAGTGTCGGTGGCATTATGCAAATGGGTGACCAGGCTGGTTCCCAGAAGATGTAAGTCAATACATCTTGAGTTCATGAAGTCGCTTGTAACTAACATATACAGGGCGAGTCTTGTTAAGGAGGCTTACCAGAAGTGCCCCAAGACCAAGGTCGTCATGTCTGGATACTCACAGGGTGCTATGCTGGTCCACAACGCAGCCAAGTCTCTCCCCGCCGATACCACCAGCAAGATTGCAGCCGTTGTCAACTTTGGCGATCCTTGTAAGTCCCCTTCAGCTTCCAACAAAACCTCAGAAACTAACAGCTCTATAGTCCAGCGACAGGCTATCCAGGGTGTTCCTTCTGACCGCGTCAAGATTATCTGCCACGCTGGTGACGGTGTCTGTGCTGGTACTGCCGCTATCACTCCTGACCACTTGACTTACAGCCAGGATGCCAACACTGCTGCTCAGTTTGTTGTTAGCAAGGTCAAATAAATGACACGCTGACGGACCCAAAATAAAGGGATGAATGGAATGAAATAATGGAAATATGGCTGGAGCAGAGCTTCGGGCGTGGATAGGTTTAAAATTCTCCTGTATCTTTTAAAGCTGCTTGAATATGACAATATTTAGTAAAGAATTTACATAGGTTGGCCTAAATTTGTCAAGTATGTTCAGTATTTAGGCCTAAATCGTCCTAAATTAACCTAACCTTATGATGATTTCTTCACTGGGCGACCGGAACATGAGCAATCAAAGGAGGAGGGCTATTCATTCAACCTCCCTTTGGTCACATCCCCTACCTCGTCTTCTCCTTCTCCTTGACCGCACGGCGGCCACTGGTCGAGCTCTCAAGCCCAACTTGAACTACAACTGGCTGGACGATATTATAAACACAACTTGACACATGATTTCTGACATTTGGTAGACCGCATTGGCATTTTGTCCTTTATATAAAGTAAACTTTTATGGCAATTGACCGTGACTGGCGTAGTGTGGACGGACTGGTCAACCTTCACCAAGATTTCTCAAATTCATCGACGAATCTTGTGCTTAATGCATCCTAAGATTTTCTCAAATAATCACTAAATTGTCAACCCTATTCAGTCTTTAGGCCTAAAGGACTCCTAAACTTTATACAATCTTTTGATAAGTTCCTCTCTGGGCAGGCCACCGGATGAAGGAGATCCCAAGGGAAGTGGCACATCAGCTGCCACAACCATTTAATAAGAAAGGAGCCCTTGCTTAGAGCAAAACAGATGGAATTCTGCAGGTATAGTGTAAAAGGAATTGTTTTTCCCAAGCAAAAGTTAAAGTGGGGCATCGGTTGTGAGAGCCCGACAAGTGACGGGAACGAACTCTCAACACCACAATATGTTCCAAAATAATCAGAACAACTTCAACAACAAACGGGGATATGGTGTAGGGTCTATTATCTCTCTCTGATGAAAAATCTATTACAAAGAACTTAGCCTATAATATTATGAGTATGTATTAAATATTCTGTAAGTTTCACGAAGCTGAGGCATAACTTAGTCATGGAAAATAGTTAGTGAGCATCACAGGTAAGTCAAAGAACATTGCATGGATAATCAGACGAGGAGGGCAATTCATTCATTCATTTTTTTTTTCTTAAAAAAAAAAAGAGGTCCCTCTGGTCACGCCCCCTAGTTCTTCTTCTGCTTCTTCTGCTTGACCGCACGGGGGCGGCCACTGGTCGAGCCCCCAGGCCCAGCCTGGACAACAGCACCAGGCATAACGGTGAAGTTATTCACCACACTTGCTATAATATGATTAGCCTTACATGATTAATAATAGATTTGCAGGTATTTGACTTACCAGCGGCGGGAGCAGCGGCAGCCCGGGGTCGGGCAAAACAATCCTCTGGTCGGTGCCCCCCCCATTTGAGACAATGGGGGCACAGGTGCCGTCGGGGCTTACGCCCACGACGGGCACCCGGCCGGGGACCACCGGTCTTCTTGGCAGCGGCGGCAGCATCGGCGGCGGCGGCAGCAGGGAAAGTTGTTTGCACTCCCGAAGGAGTGGCCTCCGCAGAGGACTTTGGGGCCACAGGGGACCCAGGTGTGCTTGTCTATTAGTATGTTAGTTCTTGAACTTAAGCATTATCTCTCGATGGATAGTATTTACCAAAGAAGGTTGAAGCACCCCCGAAGGGGTGGCCTCCGCAGAGGACTTTGGGGCCACGGATGACCCAGATTCGCTTGTCTATTAGTGTGTTAGTTCTTGAACTTGGGCATTATCTCTTGATAGATAGATAGGACTTACAAAAAGAGGTTGTTGCACCCCAGAAGGGGTGGCCTCCGCAGAGGACTTTTGGGTCTCCGATGACCCAGATGCGTTCGGCTATCAGGATGTCAGTCACCATTCTTCCATTACTTGGAGAGCTTTCCTTGAATAAGAAAGCCAGACACTTACAACCGCAGAAGAGGGGAGTTGTTGCACCCCCGAAGGGGTGGCCTCCTCAGAGGACTTTCCGGTCGCCCAGGACCCAAACGACCACTAGGTTGTGTTAGTGCTTCTTGAGACGTGATTGGCTGATCAAATTACTTACCAGGCAGCGCGTGAAGTTATCCCTAGGAAATAAGAAATGTCAGCAACTACTCAACAATACATAGGCAAATAAACAAGAAATGGGAGGGCCCGATAGATCGTAGAAAATATGAACGGTCGTAAAGCCAGGAAACAGACCCGCATGTTGACAATCAAGAGATGCGGGCTGAACATAGGCCGAGTTCGATATTGTCGGTGTTTGATAATACGGGAAGGGAGAGAGCCACGGATTCGACACCGCGTAGGGAGCCATCGGAGTAAGCGATAACCAGAATGTGGAAGTGATCAGGCAAGTTAAACAAGAGCGGTTGCCGAGTGAAGCACAACTTGCAACAAACAGTAGAGCTCTTCTTGTTGATCACCACATGTTGACAAATCGATTCGTAGAAAGGGAAGTGGCATAGATATTGCCGAAAGCACAAATTCTTGGGAAGAGGTACTCACATGTTGTTGTTGTTGTTGGATAAGGAGAAAGAAAAAAGAAAAAAAGGAGGGGGCAGAAGAAGTTCTTATATTCACGCGCCCAGCGAGCAACCCCCTACGCCATGAACCCCGTGCGCGTGACACGTCTATAACCTCACGCGAAGCTGGCACTGCACCGGCAGCTATGAATAAACTACCTACGCTTATTGGACAATTGGATTGACTGGCAATGAAGTTATCAACTTGATGTGGTACATGCATAAATTCACGCCGTAGCCACTCGTGTATTATTCTCACTTGAAGCAGAAAGACATGATGTATCTTGGATTTTACTATCACTCATACATGTATACATAGGGTATTGAGTTTGCAAACCATTTTACTCGATATAGCAAGTAAAAATAGGGAGTTATCTCAAAGTACAATGATCGAGCCCCCCTGACGATCCGCAACACAGCAAGTAAGGGCCTTGTTTTCTGCGTTGAACTCAGCCCACACGGTGCTGTGATATTAGAAAGATGAACATCTATTAGTAGATGAGCTGTCTCACGAATGGTGAGTTGCCATGAATGGGTTCCTTCAGTGATAACATGATAACATGGCCGGCTCCCAAGAATCTGGCATGGTAAGAATAATACCACAGGCAAATTTTAAAATAATACTGGTTCTTGTAAGAAAGAGATCCATCTGAATTACATAAATATGGCAGATTCTCACGAGTCTCATTACAATGCCACTAGAAAAGATCGAGCGCGCGGGTTCGGAACTGTGCCCCTGAGCAAGCCCACCAGCCACCTTATCAAGATGTAGATGCCAGTCTGAAGCCTTCTCGGTAGTAAGAAGAACAAACAAGATTGTTCAATGAGGTTATACTAGCATTTGCGGGGTAAGGCTACTCAATTGATGCTCTATGGAATGCACGAAGTCCAGATGGTAATGGGAAACCATCCTGCCGCACTCTTCTAACAAATGAAATACACAGAAGTCGTTTTCAACATCTACTACAGGAAATCAATGCATTATATAGTTGTAAGAAAACTGCCAAGAGCTCATCATAGTCCACTGCCAGTGTCTTGTGTCTTGTGTCGCATTCGAGGTCGTCAAGTAAGACCCCCCTTTCACGTTTGAGGCCGGAGCTGTCTGCCCGGGTTGCTAGGGCATCAAAGCATAACACGCGCAAGCTCAGAGTCACAAGAGCAAATACCCCGCACATTTCTGCTCAATGAGAATATTATGACTATCCAACTCCTTGGCATAACAATAGAGCCTTTTCAACCCAGCGCAACCATCGATATTGGACAGATACCTACGGAATCTATCAGGACCAGACTTATTCGCCTCGTCAACATTAAAATATTATATCAGTCATGTCCATCGAAAAATACTTCTTCAAGAAGTCGGTTGTCGCCTCGTCGCCTGCTGCCCCATCGCCTGCTAAGGCCCAGGAGAAGGAGAATGACGACTCTGGCTCTGTTCTCGACAAGGACACAGGCCTCATCCTTCCTGGAGACATAAAGGTAGCTTATGAGATCCGAGCTAACACTGACGTGGGCCCAGTTAGAAGTCTTCAAGACTCAGTGCGGGCTACAGCAAAGGTCCTTGGTCTTGAAACACAGGCCTCGACATACAGAGACTTGGCTTTGGGGCTCATCACTCCGTCAAGTCTCAAGAACAAGCTCGTGGCATTCATCGATGCACCACACGCGCTTCCGGACAAGTCTCTTGTTCCTGTTGACGCGTTCCTTGGTAAGCCAAACAGGGACGATTGGGATACTCATTGCGTGACAGTCAAGGAGTCCTGGCAGATATTTTGTGCAAAGGTCGACTCAATTTCCGGGGGCCAAATCGAATTGAAGCATATGGCAGCACCATCTGGGCCAGCGCACTCAAAAGTCGCCATGCTCTGGCACTACCCGACCTTCACGTCAGGGAATTCAGTGTACAGTCATGTTATGGACCCAGACAGTCCCAGTCTTTGGGCACAGCAAGTAAGTCCTGAGTATCGAACACGTACTTGGCATGGCTGATACCCTCATTAGAAAAAGATGGGCCTAGACGATGGTATCAAGACGCTCGATATGTTCCCGTTCCGCCTTGATTACAACCACGACAATGGTCCGGAATGGGAAAAGCGGTTCGATAATTGGCCAGCCCTTCGAGAAGCTTGCCTAGAGCATGTCAAAGAGATCATCGAAGATGATCGCCTTCTGGTGGTTGTTGGAGATGAGATCTGGCAAGAGGCAAAATGGTTAGTCAAGAGCCGTCGCTGGACGCTTACATACGTTGAGCTACAGGTAGACATCAAGATGTTCAGCGCCAAACCTAGGATCTATCTCGCCCAAGATTTCCAAGGCAGGGTCCGACAGGTGCTGATTCGAATTTGGCATGGTCAGTACGTATATCACAACAGCCATGAAGAAAGGGGCGCTATCTGGGATCTCATGTGGAACACTGCGTGTGAGATCGCAGGTGTCGAGATCAAGAACCCTGAACTACTGACTTGGGCAGCCACCCATTTCTTAAGAAGCTCATCCCAGGATCCTGAAGTGGCTCAAACAAGGCCTGGGTCCTACACAGTCTTCATGAACCTAAGGCGACGACAGAATGCCGAAGGTCGACTGTTGTCCGCTGAAGAGATTCGTCAGTATCTGCCTGCCCTGTTTAACCGATTTCCAGAGCTCGGTGACCTTGTGCAGCAGGCTAGTGACAAAGGACATGCCGCTCTGTCCGCCGTCGAGCAGCACTTCAACCAGAAGTCTGTACAGACGCCCCAAGACAGAAAGAATAAGCGTGAAGCCGAATCGCCAGCTATCGCTCCTCCGGCAAAACGAGTCGCTACCGACGCCAAGAAGATCGAAGCTGCAGGAGCATCCGCCGCTGCCCGAAAGACCAGTCAAGATCGAAAATAGGAAGCCCTCTTGAACTGTCATCAAGTGCAAGACGCGGAGGCACATCGACTAAACCCGGACAAGACACTAGAGCAGTCCCGAACCTTGGAGCGAATCGACAGGCTGAAAGAATTCCGAGATATCAGTGGAAAGAAGTTCAGCGCCGAACTAGGCAGCTTCGTGGTTTTTTACCATCCAAAGAAGTATCCTCGAGGCCTGCGATTCCTCCCTGAGCATGGAGCCGACCCCTATGCTGGTAAACATCATCCAGCCGTCATCATTGGGCAGTCAACAAGACTGCTGAACGCCATGGAGAGGCATAATCTTGCCGGGCCAGTTGAGTAATCCTGACAAAAGCCCAACGTCCATGCTTTTTGAGAACCATGTGGTGTTACTTAATCACTTAATTTTGGTAGTGCTACTTGTCTTCGATGAGTATTGTCAAGTCGTCACGCATGCTTCTATACATCGGACGCCACTGTTTCTTTTTGAACTGGTGAGATCGCATGTCTTCAAGACTCGGTCACAGCCCCTCTTCGTTTGAACTGGGAAGATCGCAAGCTCTCGTAAGCTGCGCCCCGTTCCTTTTTGGGTTCGGTAAGATTGTTCATCTTTTAAGATATTCAATGCCTGTCCATATTTTGGTCAGTAAGGTCACTTTTTTTTAGACAGTGACATTTTGAAATCTCCCAATTTGGGGGGCCCTACGGGGTAGGGTGACGAAGTCGGACTCTGCACCTCCACGCGGTGTTGCCTGGTAATGCCCTCAGGGTAGCCAACGCAGAGACGCAAATACATGGAGGCCTTTTGGTGAACCTTTTGGAAGAACTTGGCGCACTGGTGTTAGAGCACTGCAAGATGGTGATGGTGGAGTTCATCAGACCTAATTTTCAGACGCCTGGAGGCACTATTAACAAGTTGGAGCTTATAGAGTGGCCTACCGAAGGATGCTAATGTTTCAAAATAGTAACGTCCCAATCTTGACCAGAAAGTGCCCAAGACTGAAGCGCGAAGCTATGTTGCAATGATGCTGACTGCATGTATCTTCTGAATCGAGCTGGCTCATAGTATCAAAGTACGAAGTTCAGGTATATGATCCGGTCTTGGTGTCTGAAATTTATCATCCATGGTTCCGCTGGATTTGTGCAATGCACAGGCTAACAACGAGCTATTTCATAAACGAATGACTATCTTATGGCAATAATAAATAAGTTTAGCTTTACGGAGTGCCTATCCCTGAATTAAAGTCTGCTCAGGCCATTTAGTAAAACGTGAGCATTGCGATATGAAACTGCACACACACTGGATGTCAGGATTGGGGTGTTTGAATCATCGTAACAGTGGATACCAGCACAGCATGCTAAGATAACTAACGGGCGGTACCTCGTCACTCGGGGTAAATAATCATTTGTATGCCGTTTGGCTGTAGTTTTTGCTAAGGCGGGTAGCTCGAGCTGGCTAACTGTTATAGGAGCTGATCGAAAATCTTCCCCACAATAGTTATTACACAAGGTTGACTGGTCTAACGGTTAGGACGGTGTCCCCCAGTCTGGTCATCTTGCCCCCGGGTAAACTGGGAGCAAGGTGACTGGGTGTGACTCAAGACTGGGTTCAATTCCCAGGTTAACTATTAAATGATATGTATTTTTTTATATTTAAACTTTCCTTTATAAAAGCAGTATCTTAAGAATATCTCTTAAAAAAATGCAGTTAATTTAACTGGAATTAAAGTAGGGTTATTAATTTTATATCTAACAGCTATAAATATCAAGAAGGGGATATGGTGTAGGGGAATCACGTTCGCTTTGCATTGTTTCGAATGCTTGCGAAAGGTCGGGGGTTCAAATCCCTCTGTCTCCAAGCTTTTGTCTGTCAAGTTGCGGCATTTTTGGACAAGATGTGTCCAGTCCTGACAACTCTATTTTTAGTTTTGGATACCCCACACATGTACATCAGCATGTTGACTGGGACTGCTATACATTCTCTAATGTGCCCTTTTATCTTGTGGCCCTTGTGTGACCATCGAAGCGAGTGTCTAATTTGGCGACTCCCTAGGAGCGTGGATGTGAAGCACTGCTCTAGGACATAGCGACTGCCTGGAAACACACGCGGGCTATCAAGTAGTGGCAAGAGAATCAGCGATGGTGATTGCAAGTCAATCCTTCTACTGGGTGTCATGCACTTGTTTCGCGACGTTCGCCATAATTAGCAATGAACCCCCTGTATAAGTTGAAACCGCGTTGTACGTCCAAGTGGGAACTGAACACAAGTTATGAATATGATGACACGGCTCTGGAAACATAGATATCTAATCAGTCTTGACTTTTTTCTTCTCGAACTTTGAGAATACTCTTGCCAAACCTCGTCCCTACATCCATATACCGTCCATAAGCGCCTGTAACCATCAAACCAGTCAAAGTATCAATAATCCTTCTTTGTCAATGACAAGTCAGCCATGCCGTGTTGCTGCATGTGATTGACAAGCCAGGGGGTGCTGCATTTGGAGAAGCAGACACGTGCCGCCCCAAGCCATGAATGAATGAATCATGTGTCCCGTATGAACAAAGCCTACATTCCATTTCGTTTCCGGACGATTACCTATTAGCCTTTCCTTTCAGCTGATGTGCCATGCATAATTGGAGTTCACGACGGGAGAGGCTTGAGACCTCGTGAGCAAGAAAAAAAGACGTGGCATTGTTATGATAGTTTCTTGTGTCTCATAATACGTAAGTTGTAGATTTTGTATCGATTTCTCGAATGTCATGTTGTAATATTCCCCATATCAGCGACGTCATATTCAATGCGGCCCCCACAGAAGAACCATGGACTGAAATGTCCCCCGCGTTTATCCCCGGAGTTTGGAGATGACACTTTCACATGTTAATAAAATACAAAGGCAGCGAGTGAGTACTACGCTACCAAAATATGTCACGAGTCACGAGTCGTCATCTCACTTCGGCCTTTGGACCGAATTGAGCTTGGAATGATCCATTGTTTGCTCGAGAATTGGCCTTGGCCTCTGTTGTTTTTGTATCTATCCAATGGCTTTTGACTTTTGCTCTCTCTTTTCCTCTTTTCCTCTTCTCATTGAGGATATTCTTGTGGACGTGAAACACTCCAAACACTCGGTATCATACTACAGACCGTTGCACTTATCGACTTATAACGGCCAACTCACGATAAGGCTCTCGTAACCCTGTCCTGTCCTAGTCCCACCACCGAGGATATCGAGTCGTGTGTGTTACAGGGCCTTTTTTTCTTTCATGTGAACGACCATCAATTTATCCGAGAGACCCTACGACACGACACGACACCATGTGTCTGCGCTCTAATTGATTTACTTTGTTTCCTTGCTGATCTTTCATACTTCGTCGGCATTACCAAATAAAACACATACCCAGACTTGGTCTACTCATCATGATAGACCACGTCTTAGGACGGCCTTCAGTCAAGTCTCGACGACTCCAGGTCCTCGCAGTCTTGACTTTTTGGTCTGCCTATTTAGTAAAGTAAACATCCCACCTCCGAATATGCGTCCGGAGCACTAACACACTTGCAGAGGCCACAAACATGGCCCTCCCGGCGCTCAGTTGCTCTCGAGGCTCTTCTCCAAGCGCCTGACAGCATGGCAAACCGTCGTGATAACGATGATCTACTTATACGCCGCCCGAAACTTCAGCACCCTAGTCGGACTCGCGAGCCCAGAGCCCTTGGCCAATATGTACGACGCAACATACTACCGAGCTACATGGGTCCTGACTGCGCTGGACGCTGGCTTCTGGACGGCCATGAAGATCAAGACGAAATGGTTGCGCGATATGGCGAGCATCGTCTTCTCACTCTTCTACCTCGTGGCTGCTGAAAAGGCAGACGAAAAAGTCCGAAAGGTCCGGGGTATGATTACCGTTGAACATCTGCGAGTGTCCTGGAATAAGGGCACCTCACCGTATTTGAGTTTCTTTCAAGGACTCATGCGACCTCGTTTCATGCGTTGGCCTCCAAGGCAGATCCGAATTCCACGGCCCGCCGATAGCGACTACAAAGAGCCTGTACTTGCGTGGCTGTACTACGATGGCCCTTTGTCAGATCTTCACCGTCACGATAGACTGATTCTCGATATCCCGGGTGGTGGCTTCGTTGCCATGGATCCTCGCTGTAACGATGACAAGCTGTTCTCATGGGCTGCCAAGTCAGCGTTGCCAATTCTGAGTCTCGACTATAAGAAGGCACCAGAGTTCCCGTATCCATATGCACTGAATGAATGCTTCGATGTTTACAGAACTATTGTAAACACCAAAGGTCGATGCATAGGTCTGCCAGGCACCGAAGTCCCTCGAATCATCGTCACTGGTGATAGTGCTGGAGGAAACCTGGCGGTTGCTTCAACATTGATGATCATGGAGACAAGACATTCCGCGTTCCGCAGACCAGGCCAAACAGAACTGCCAGCTCCTGATGGACTTGTGTGCTTCTATCCAGCTTTGGACATGAACATCGGCAACTGGATGACAGATGAGCAGATGTCATTGATCAAAGACCGAAAGGCGAGGAAAACGAATAGAAGAATTATGCGACGCAAGAGCATGCAGTATAACGAGCTCGTGGGAACTCCCCATCACTCTGACGATGAAGAAGATGGATCACCGCCACCGCATACCAAGTTGAGCGCTTTGACGACGAAGGAGGCTTTGATTGCGGCATCTCAAGGACCTAGAAGTCCACACCCTGAGTTCTCTCATGTTGGTCCTCGATCATTGAGCTTCCCGAAAGATGTCTCTGAGACCGACGAAAAAAAGTCATCTCATCATCCTGAACCGATGAAGACGCGACTGGCTACTTCGTCGATGATCTCTTACTTCAACGACCGAGTCCTCACCCCTGAAATGATGAGAGCCATGATTATCTTGTACATCGGCGCTCATAACCGACCTGATTTCAGCCAGGACTATCTTCTTAGTCCCGTGCTGGCTCCAGAAGCACTGCTCGTCGACTTTCCCAAGACATACTTTATGACTGGAGAGCGAGATCCTCTGGTCGATGATACGGTCATCTTTGCAGGACGACTTCGCCGTGCCAAAGAGGCTGCATTTGTTCAGGAACAGACGGAAAGACACCAGAATGCCGAGTTCAATGACAGAGACGCAGCCGAGGTGATGTTGATTCCTGGAACATCTCATGGCTTCATGCAGTTCCCAACTGTGTATCCTCCTGCCTGGCGACACTTTGAGAGATGCATCGATTGGTTCGACCAACTCTTCGACCACGCAGAAGTCATGCGCGTTCGCAAAGACAGACAAGCCCGAGCCGCCAGGTCCCAGACCAACGGCTTCGGAATCAACGGCGACGGTCGTCACCACATGCGCACTGAATCCAGCGAAGAAGACCGACCCCTCGAGATCAGCATGACAAAGATGAATCAGCGACGCAGCTCCAACCAGACAACACCCCAGCAGAGCCCCGACCTCAACGGCGGCAGCGAAAGCGGCGACACAACGCCACGAGCGCACACCAACGGAACGCCTTTATCAAACGGCGATAAGAACGCCAAGAGACGCAAGAGTGCGGGTCTGAGCAAGAGCAAGAATAGAAACAAGAGCCTTGTCAAGCTCAAGAGTTCTGATGATCTGCTGGGGAGACGTATGCAGGGACTTGCGAGCGGGTTGACGGGGATGGGCGATGACGACTAGAGTATGTACATACATACAGCTCGGAAAGGACGGGATCTTGCATTGAGATGGATACTGCATGATGATGTGGGTTTTGTCGCATAAAGCGAGATGAGTTGCATCGCGAGGTTGCATTTTGCGTTGGTTTGTAACTTGGAGTACACAATGAGGGCACATATGTTTTCTGTAGTTGATTCTTACGAAGGTATGACTGTTTGTAGATACACATAGGACACCCTTATTAGAATGTTTTGTACAACTTGCGGCCTGGAGTGAGGTGTCATGAGGATCACCAAGACTATGACTGCCTGGTCAACCAAGCTGCAATGCATCGAATTTCTAGAAGACTGCCCAAAGTCACTGACCATCGTCTCGAAATAGTAAGACGGGACAGAACGGATCGGTCAAGCCTGGATCGCGGATATTGAATCCCGGCGGACCGTCGCGCTGTGGGCCTGGTTAACGCAAGTTACTCCTGAGGCGCTGTGGCTGGAAGTATTGCCCTGAAGATGTTGGTTGATGTTAATAATGAAGAGTATGCAGTGTCATTGCTTATTCACTACTGCTAAACTGCGCAAAGGTGCTCTAATCGCTGACAAAGTGGCTAATACAGCCTGAAATGCCTTCAAAAATGATTTCAGAACGACACAGCGTTAACGCCTCAGCCTGCGATGCCCACCGATAAAAGTGAAGCCATTCGAAGCATTGCCTGCGTCTAGAAGAAACAGGGCTCAAAAGGGGGCGGACGGACCGTGTCTGCGTCAGAGCTCTTAGTCTCGGTGAGCACAACACGCAACATATGATAGACCCCACGAAATTGGGCGGGAGTTGGGCCGATTGGATTATGAGCAAGGATTCAGCTTTCAATCCGGGGACGTTGGGCTGTGAGGAATAAGAAAGAACACGCCACTTGGACGACAGAGGTCAGGTTACTTGGGGTGAGAAAGCAGCTCACGGAGAAACCGTACAGGGACCCCTTTTTGGGGGATTATTCTTCACGGATAGAGAGGCATAAATGATACGTGTGTTTTGAGGAGAGTTTTGTCGATCGTTTAGAACTCGTAATGCTCACCAGTAGACGTGTAGTTTTCTACGGGTCTAGATGGCCTCATATGAAACGATACATAGTGGATAATGCTGTAACGAAGACTGGACATGGTGAGCAGAGGTGAGCGAGTCCAGCCTCCTTGGCTGATCTCTCGGCATAATTGCCTAGAGTACTCGCTAATCAAGTACCTATGAGTGCCCGTTTCAACCTCAAGTCTCAGCCTCTGGGAACAGAGAGTGAAGCATTTCTTACGGAACTCGGCCGTGGATGTGGGTCTGGAGGCCCGTCTCACCGGCCGGTAACCTCCGTGATTGGACCGCGCTTGTTGGCCGGGCTGCCGTCGCGACATTTCCCATTCTATTCAGCCCTGTAAATATCAAGGAAATAGTAAACAGAGAGGCTTTGGCCATAAGGGTCACGGCGATGATGGAAAGGGGAAGGTAGAAGGATAGAAAGGATATTGCTAATAACACAAGTTCTCGAATTTACCCGGTAAAATTGTGCCTTTCTATCGCTGAGAACAATATTGATGCCCGAGCAGGGGGCTTACATGGTACTGCTGCAAGTCATTCTCGAGCCTTGTCCTCTAGGAATTTCGATAATCTTCACTGAATGACTGGAATCGAATTCTTGTGGCCAAAATATGGGGGGCAAACAACATGAGGCGCAAGATATGTGTGCCCATAATCGAGATCAAGAGACGATGGAGTGAGTTTGGGGGTTCAACGCCCGCAATACTATCCAACATCCATATCGAGATGAGAACAGCAATAGTTAGAGCCCATCGTAAAACAGGGCACACCGACTTTACCTGGGGAAATACCATGCTACGTCAACTCACCTACATACATCGTTCCAGAAAAGGCCCAGCAAATAGGATCAAGTCCCTTCCCAGAACCTGCACCCCAAAGAACTAGGATATCTGTCCGTCCGATCTGCTACAGAGGAAAAAACACCGCAACCCCTTTCCCACGGAGACTGACCGTCTGTGTTTTGCAAAAAAGGGAACATCATCAGATGCTTCAACCCTGGCCCGGAGACCAGAACCCGAAAACCGCGTGTTATTTCTCTCGGCTTCACGTCACCGAATCGACACTGACCGAGTTACCCAATGTGGTAACAGGGGCTGCTGCTGCAAGGTGAGCTGACCTTGACTTGTTTGCGTTACGCCTGAGACAGAAAAAATCCATCGCTGGGTTACTTATTTCGGTCTACGTGAGGCCGCCCGCAAACAAAAGAACTTGACCTGAATAAACCGGTAATTTTAATAAAGTCTATGAGGGATATATACAGCCAATGCTAGAGGCCAGAACGGTAGGTGTCGGTGTAAGTCAAAGAAACGAGACTCCCCAGTATCACCGAAAAAAGAAGCAGGGGGGGATAGCGCAAAGGTGAGCGAGCGAGCGAGCGAGCGAGGAATCGTCATCATCATGCCCGGACAAAAAGTCCCAATAATAGGAGAAAAGCGGATGAAAACGGGGTCGTTGATGATGTAGTTGTCAGGTATTTTTCTGGCGTGTTTCTGACTGCGCTGGTACAGAGGATAATACGATGCTGGGATCGGGATCATCAACAGGGCAGTGCTTGTAAAGTTACAGAAGCCTCAGGTACCAGAACCACGTTGGGCCTTTGACCTTGATTTACGGATAGCTACCTATGGACTAAGGTATGCGCGGGCTCCCGTTTGAGGTGCCGGATTTCCATGCTTGTAAATTTGGAGGCATTTATTTTATTCACGTCCTCATGAGAATTGTTTAAAAAGTCGGTGGCTCTGCCTCGCTGGGAGTTCTTTTGTTTTCTCTTGATTCCACTCGTATCCCTTCTATTGCATCACTCATACATAACCATCCATCTCTTATATCCATCCATTCTCTGGGTATTCATCTGCCATCCCCGTCATAACAGCTCCTCTTGTATTACACGTCCTTTCCCCTTCACGCTAAGGAACAGCTTCAGCTCTCAAACACCAAAGATTATTGCCGAGCTTCCCGTTCTACCCCTCCACTGAACCTTCACGGCTGCGGCTTGCCGTCATCGTCACTGTAGCTCTAACCAACTAAAACGGCCACGTCCAGAGACGCGCCACGCATACCAAACACTCACTACACTATACGAAAGCAAGCAAGGAAAAACCGGCAGCTCCCGTTTTTCCCTTTTCGGCCCATTACATTAGACTTTGTGTGTGATATCTACTGCCTATATCAAGAGCTACCCCTCTTCCCCCAACTCTTGCATCATGAGTCTCGTACAACATTCATCAAGTGAGGCTGCCTCACCTGTTCCCATCATCGAGACAGACGACCAAGGAAGACCCGTAAAGTCAAGTACAAACGGTTACTTCCCCTCCAACGGCCAACATCTCCCTTCTTCTGCCAACGGAACTGTTACTCCTTCGTTCATCGACAACATGTCTCATCTCTCTGTTGTCCGTGGGAGAGACGACTCTGACGCTGCGTCCATCCGCTCCACGAGCTCTCGCACCTCGAGAAAGCCTCAGATGCAGCTTGCGAGCTACCAGGATGAGTTCACCACCAGCGTCTACGGCTCTCGCTTTGCGGGCATGGACCTCCCCAGGCATCATATGCCCGAGAATGAGATGCCCCGCGACATTGCCTATCGCATGATCAAGGATGATCTGAGTCTCGACAACAACCCCATGCTCAAGTAAGTTTTCATATCCACCCCCAAGAGCCGAAACCAGCTGCTAACAGCTATTTTACTAGCTTGGCGTCCTTTGTCACTACTTACATGGTACGTAATCAATCCATATCCGTCGTTTGCCAAGCCCGCCCACAGCGGAGACGAACTATTTCTTGGCTCTGGGGATGACAGCTCGCTCTGTGCAACACCAGCGCGAGCACTAAATTACCCCGCCACCATATCTCTGAATAGCTTCACTAACACCCACAACAGGAAGATGAGGCCGAAAAGCTCATGGCCGAGTCCTTCTCCAAAAACTTCATCGATTACGAGGAGTACCCTCAATCCGCCGACATTCAGAACCGCTGTGTCAACATGATCGGTGATCTCTTCCACGCGCCTCCTGGCGAATCAGTCGGTACATCTACCGTTGGTTCATCAGAAGCCATCATGCTTGCTGTCCTGGCCATGAAGAAGCGCTGGAAGAACCGCAGACAAGCTGAGGGGAAGAGCACTGAGCACCCCAACATTGTCATGTCATCTGCCGTGCAGGTCTGTTGGGAAAAGGCCACTCGATATTTCGAGATTGACGAGAAGCTCGTCTACTGCACTCCTGATCGATTCGTCATGGATCCTGATGAGGCTGTTGATCTGTGTGACGAGAATACCATCGGCATGTGTGCTATTCTCGGAACTACTTACACTGGCGAGTACGAGGATATCAAGGCCATTAACGATCTCCTCGTTGAGCGAAATCTCGACGTTCCTATTCACGTCGATGCTGCCAGCGGCGGTTTTGTCGCACCTTTCGTGGTTCCTGACCTAGAATGGGATTTCCGATGTGAAAAGGTCGTCTCCATCAACGTCTCAGGCCACAAGTACGGTCTTGTGTATCCTGGTGTTGGTTGGGTTATCTGGCGATCCCCCGAGTATCTTCCCCAAGAGCTCGTCTTCAACATCAACTACCTCGGAGCCGACCAATCCTCTTTCACCCTCAACTTCTCCAAGGGTGCATCGCAGGTCATTGGTCAGTACTACCAGCTCATCCGTCTCGGAAAGCATGGCTACCGTGCTATCATGAGCAACCTCACCCGCACTGCCGACTACCTCACAGAAACCCTTGAGAACTTGGGTTTCGTCATCATGTCAGAACGATCTGGAGCTGGTCTCCCCCTCGTTGCCTTCCGCTTCAAGACTGTTGAAGAGGGCGGTGATCCTGATCGCTACTACGATGAGTTTGCTCTCGCTCACCACCTCCGCTCCCGAGGTTGGGTCGTCCCTGCTTACACCATGGCTCCCAACTCTGGTGTCAAGATGTTGCGTGTTGTTGTCC